TAGGAGAATCAGATAGATTTCTTAAAATATTATATACTTTTTAGTTTGTAATAGATTCATATTTAAGGTAAGGTGATAAGAGATAAAACTACACAGAGCTGTCATGAACATATGATGCTTCAACAGACATACCCCTTCCCCCCGGTGTATCCGTGTGTGTGTGTGTGTGTGTGTGTGTGTGTGTGTGTAGTATTTGTGCATATGTGTTAAATCACTTTTAACTATGAAATTTCACCTCAGTCCATAGTTTTAACGCAGCTATAAATACTATTTTCCTTTATTTCTTTCTTCCTAGTGTGTGTAATTTCTTTTTACATAGTTCTCAGCATGGTATTCTCACAATTATGTATTCTGCCTTTTCATTTCATATGATTAGTACTTTTCATACACTGCTGTATCTACTGAAGGTTCTACATGAGGCAAGCATAATGATTGCATTGTTTGTTCAATTTGGCAGTGGTAGACTTGATCAAGGTGCACATTTTAAACTGGGGAGATTTTATGATGTGCAACATTCTCTTGACTTGCTGGGTAGACTGCTGGTGTAGCCTGTGTCCAGAGACTTCCCTGCAGCTCACTCGTCTATTAGTCAAGTGGAAATCTTATAACTAAATAGTTTCTCAAAGCTTTTATTATTTCTTGCCAGGCTCAGTTGGATAATTTGTGACCTGTCACGTGTGAAGGACTCTTCACTATGAGGATGTAACCCAAAGCCTAGACAGGGCATAAGGTATTATTCTAAGGGGCCCCATTGCAAGCTGGCCCTGCAGCTAGGACAAAGCAGAGGAAGAAAAGTCAGTCGGCTGCCTGCTGGGTTTGTGGGTCTCTGAATAGCCAATTTGCTGAGATTAACAGAGGTCTGGCTTAATAAATGTGTCTGCATGCCTAATAGATTTGAGTAAATGAACCTTAAAATACTTGATTTAATTTAGCATTGGGCATTCTGTACCGGTGGCCAATGAAATACTCAAGGATCCTGTTGACTGTTCCAGCTTTCTGGGGAAGGTGAAATCAGCCATGTTGCCATAACTGCTGATGAAAAACGAAAGCAATTTGGGAAGCAGAATTAGCTTCTGTATTACCTAGCATAGATGCCTGTCTGTGGCCTGCCACCCAGAGACCAAGTATCCCCATCCATCAGAGTTTGTTTGTTGTGGCTCTGTGCCCTGGCTGGCCGCTGTGATGGCTAGCATTCACCCACTTCTGTTCCCTTTGTCCTTCAGCCCTGAACCCTCTCTTAGCTCTGGAACCTAGGGAAGCAGTCAGATGGAGACAAGCTAAGGAGGGAATCAGCTTCTTTCAGAGGAGATGCTATTGAGCAAAATGCCATAACCAGCTACATCTTGGGATAAGACGAGTCTTCCATGGAGGGGGAGGGCCACTGGTCCTACTTTTGGCTGATGAAGATGACAGGGGAATAGTGAAGGTTCCCTGAAGAAGAAGCTAGGGACAGAGGGGGAAGCGAGCAATGAAAGGACTACTAATGGGCGGCAAGCAAGACAGGCAGTGTAAGACATTCTCCACCCCAGGGAGCAGTTCATAGTCTCCAAATAAAAGAAAATAAAAGCACTTTTATTGTCCTTCCTAAAATTCTTTCACCTTGTATTTTGTGATAAAAATTTCAGATATACAATAACATGGTCGTAATTTTGCAAGGAGCCGGTTGTAGTTCCTTGCTACACATATTATGTTTATTATGGAAATGTCAAAGTATGTCTCTGAATTCATGTCTACACATCCATTAATCTTGTTTTTTTTTTTTAATTTAAAGTTGCAACAAGCTGATTTTACATCTCAATCCCAGTTCCCTCCCCCTCCCCTCCCCCCAGTTCCCCTCCCAGTTCCTTCTCACCCCCTTTCAGCTCCCCAGGGAGGGTGAGGCCTTCCATGGGGCATCTTCAAAATCTGTCATATCACTTGGAGCAGGGCCTAGGCCCGCCCCCATGTGTCTAGACTGTGACACTATCCCTCTATGTTGAATGGGCTCCCACAGTCCATTCATATACTAGGGATAATTTTATTTTAAAGTTAAGATTATGTGCTTTGTTATAAATCATATAGCTTGCAAATCCTTGTCTGTGGTTCACAGTTTCTTGAAAGTTTTCTTCTTGAGGAATATAAAATGTATCAACAATAGAGTATGTGAATCTGCAGTGTGTATTTACAGTTTGAAAAGACATGTACTTGGGTAGCCTACCTGTGATGATGCCTTATTGCCATCCTCCCGGTTTCCTTCATGTTCTCAGCCAATCTCCATCCAAGACTCCTCCTCATCATAGTCTAGATTTGTCTGCTACAAAATATCCTAAAAATGTAATCACATAGTACAAGTTAATCTTTTTCATCTCCCATGGTTTTGACAGTCACACACCTGTATTTTTATTGTCACCTATTTAGATGCATGCATTAATATTCTTTTTATTTGTTATGTGAAGATCCTGTGGTTAATTTTTATTTTCTCTTTGGTGAATTTCTAGACTGTCCACATTTTAAGCTGATGTGAATAGCTGCTATGAGTTTTTCTTTAAATGTACACGTATGTTTCTCTTAACTAAACTCCAGAGACTACAGGTGAAGATCAGAAAATGTGAAATGGCACAATCACTTTTGGAAACATCCTCACAGTGTCTAACAAATAAAACTTTCCCCCAAATGGTTTCAGTGCTTTTATGTTTCTACCAAAATAGGATGAGAGTTCCAGTTTGCTTTGTGTTTTCAGCATTACTCGCTACTATCATTTAAAAACAACTTTAACCATCATATCATTACATTTTGATGTCTCATTTTGTTTCCAAATCTGGGGAGGCCTCTGACTCCTAAGAGTTTATATAGTGAACAGTAGTAGTGAGCAAAAATGTTACTGACAGTCAGTTGTTAATCTCTTAAGGCCAATGTCAAAATGAGTTATCAGAGATAACCTAACTCCAAACCTTCATGTTTAAGCCATAAACCCTATATTTTATTTTTAATTGCCACAGAATAACTGAAGGAAATATGTGTAGTCATTTTTGTATCAAATCACTAACGCATGCAATTGTTTCACAGATCTCAGAATAGAAGACTTATGCAGAAGTTCATAAACACTGCAGTTGGCTACTCTGATATTCTGAGATCCAGAGGGTTAACCTTTTCTCTAAACAGATAAAGAGGAGACATAGGACAGATACAGACTTTGACTAAGGTCATTCATAGTGGTGGAGCCACAGTTTTAAGTCACTGTCCTTGTCATTCAAGAGATGGCAGCAGTGTAGTACATATACTCTCTCATTTCATGGCCATGGACCTTGCGTCTTTCCACAGCCGTGGCTGACATGGCTATTCAGAGCTCCAGTTGACTTTAGAATACTTCTAAAAGCAGGGCTCTAGAGCTGGAGAGATGGCTCAGTAGTTAAGATCCTTTGCTGCTCTTTCAGAGGACCGAGATTTAATTCTTGGTGCCCACACTGTGGCACTCAATCAATCCTAACTCCAGTTCTGGAGGATTGGATACCCTTTTTGCCTCTGCAGGTACAGCACATGTCATACACAGAGTATATGCAGTCAAAACATATATATATACATAGAATAAGAATAAGAAAAACATTAAAGAAACAGGACTCTAAACATAGATAGCATCATGGAGTGTAGGACATATCCATTTCTATCTTATCCTTTGTTCAACTCCAAAGATATGTATGTGCCATTATAAAGCAATATTTATGGTAATGCTTACACCTTAGGAGCTGTCTTTAGTTGAGGGGAAATGGTATTTTTTATATATATATTCCCTTCCTTTTTATTCAATAAAGAGTGAAAAAATATATCAGAAGCTTAGAGTAGTGCCTCTGATTCTGTCCAACCACTACCAGCCTGATCGTAAAGGAGTGCTATGGAATTGGAAATAGATGAAATCAAATTAGTTCTTCAGAAGCCCTGTCAAATACAGCAAGCAGAAAAGGATTTCAGTCTTACAGAAAGAGCACTGTCTAAAAACAGCATCTTCAATCCTTTGCATTTATCTGTGCACACACATCCAGCCAATGACGGGTACACTGTGAGTGTTGGCATTTGCTCATGCCCTGAGAGGCAGTCCTGTGCACACTTCAACAAGTACATTATTATTCTGTATCTTGTTGTCCCTGTGTGTGGAGAGGAGAGGGAGTCTGCTCATCTGTGCTTGAGGCATACTTTCATTTTGTGCTTTAGCTCAGCCTTCATCTGTTATCCCTGAGCCTCCACAGCACAGGGTCCTGAGAAGATATGGGCTTTAAGAATACCACCGAATACTGACTCATCCATCTCAAGATCTACCTTCTCTTCTACAAGAACATGCTTACATTCTATTTCTATTTTTGTCCATGATAAGTTTATATCTTTTGCTAAGTCAGGAAGAAACAAAAGGAAAACAAAATCACAACCTGTTATATATGCATGTTTGTATATTCCCAAATATACAAGTATAAAAAATGGGAAAAATGCTTTGTAAGGGAAAACAGATATAATTCAACAAAAATCAAGTGTTAGGCCATTGCATTTGTTTTGTGTATGTTTTCTGTTATAAGAATGTCACTGTGCTTAAGTCAGATGAAGCAGGTCACTTCTTTGAAAAGTCCCTGCAGCCCAGTGGAGTATGGTATAGAACACAAGGAATGATGGATAACAACAGAACACAATTCCTTGTTCCAAGAGCCATCAGATATAGGCCTTAAAAGCCGATTTTATTTTTCCCAGGAGAAAGAACAAGGTGATATGACCACTCAAGAGTGTCACTTAGTTTTCAAATTAAAATTTTAAATCTGAAATTGATTGATATCCTACCCATTTCCTGAAGAAATAATCACACTTTTTTTTGGAAACCAAATAAAATTGTTGTGTTTTTATTCCTTATTCTTTTAAAAGTAAAGAACCCATTGGAGCTGTCATTTTATGAATATGCATGTCCTTCTGAGATTTTCAATTAGGAAGGGAAATCTAGTACCCCATGGAAATTTGAAGGGGTATTGCTGTTCTCTTTCTTACAGCCCCTCATAACCTTGGACAGCAGCATCTCTTTCACATTCCTTGCAGAGGGAACCAACACCATCACTGTCCAGGTAGCTGCTGGGAATGCCCTCATCCAAGACACAAAAGAGATTGCAGTACACGGTAAGTTCTGAACATGGTCATGTGATGTTCTCTTCTGCTCTTCCTATACTAGTGCCAACTACAAACTGGTTTAGAGTTTGCCACATTATAGGCAGAGTATTGAAATCCACCAACATAGATTCCATTGTTTGGAAGAGAGAAATTAAAAAAAAAAAAAAAAAGTAAGCAGATCACAGGTAAGCATCTCTTGTCCCTTGTGGGCTGGCATACACATCTTGTGGTACATGAAGATCACAATATGTTTGGAGAACTTATAAGACAAAGACATTATAGTTGAAAGAAAAGTAAGGTAGAAGACCTATAGAAGGAGCTATGTCTGATGATCTGTTAAGGGGTCTGCAATGTGTATTGTGTGAAATGGGGCAAGTGATCTACAAACCAGAGGAGTAATGCTGCCTATTCTGTAGATCTTATATCTTGGATATACAGAGCAAATGTGGTTTTCCTTTTATAGTTGTTGGAAATTCCAGCATCATTGTCTGTGAAGGCTTTATAATGAGACTAAAATCATTACCTTGCATTACTGCCTAGGAGAATAAAGTAGAGTAAAAGGAGGATTTAGAAGGAGGTTCTATGGAAGGATATGTTCATCTATGAAAATGTCCTTATGAAGGGCATACTATGCACTACTATGCAATACTATGCACTACAAAATCCAGCAATAAAAGTGATTATAAGCTTAAATGAAGACAGCAAATGTGATACGCAGGGTTGCCACCATGTTCCAAACCCTGGAAAACAATTCTTAATTACTACATTTATTTTAAATGAAATTAATGATCCTATGCTTCCATCCCTCCAGCCCTCCCATAAGCTCTCAGACAGTCACTATTATTGTAGTTATATAGATGTGTGTGAACATCTGACCAAGGCATATTTCTCCAGCCTTGCTCCTTCTTCTCTGCCAACCCTTATTAGGACCTGAAGTAAACATTTTTATTGAATTGTAAATGTTTCACCGAGAAGTGGCGCATATCAGAAATGCTGAGTTTTATGAATTAGCATCAATTGTATAAACCTATGTACTCACCAGCCAGGTCAGGAAATCAGACATTCCCTTACACTCCTAGAGACAGAGTTTAACCCACTTTTCTCACCTGTGAGGCTTTCTACAGAATAATAAACCCTGAAACTGATGGATGGAGCAAAGCTTCCATTCCAGCCATCCCTGACTGTTATGCTTTAAGTTGTCTCTGAGATACACAGAAGGGAGTTCAGATCTCCTTCTGGGTTTCTCTGCTTGTCTTTCAACATAGCCAGTATGCATTACAGGAGTTAGCAAATAAGGAAGAGCTCATATCTACTCTTGGTGGGCACATTCCCTTCTTTTCAGAAGCCAACGGGCAAGTGAAAATAAGGAAAGGTAGCTTAAGCCTCGTGAAAGAGAACTGGTTCCTACTGCACATGGGCCATCGCCTATCAAACCCTTTTGTCTCACTCTACCTGTTTCACCTGGACATTCTGTCTCCTTGCAGAATACTTCCAGTCCCAGCTCTTATCGTTCTCTCCCAATCTGGATTACCACAATCCTGATATTCCTGAGTGGAGGCAAGACATTGGCAATGTTATAAAGCGAGCTCTGGTTAAGGTAAGTTGGCTGTATCTTTGGTTCTTTGGGGCAAAGAAAAGAAATCAATGGCAGGACCAAGAATCAAAATTCTATTCCATAGAGAGATAAGGATTATTTCTCTATATACAGAGAGAGATGAAGAAAAGCCATACCCGGGTAAGGAGGAAAAATAGAGGAGATACGAGAGAAGAAAGCTGGGGATGGAATAGAGGCTAGTCTAGTGTTTGAAGATGGAAATTGGCTCAGTGTTTGTCCCAAGTATTTCTGAGACAGAGTCTTGACACCCTTAATGGAAAGTGGACAAACCACTTTATGAACCTCCACTAATTTTATACATTTACCTACGATTTGCCCATGACTAACCCATTCTTAGATATTTAAGTTCACTAGTCTACCATTGGCCATTCAGCTAAGAAACAGAGTACTCCACCAGGGAAATACAGTTATAGATTTCAGTCAAACTCATATTTTTTTTGGTGAAAGTAAAAATTTCATCAACAAGTCTCAGAGATGTGAACTAGGATACACTGAGTAAAGCAGTTACTTTATTTGGAGAAGTAAGTCTAATGTGCAATTAGTTCTATGGTATAGAGGCATAGCCAGCATCTCCAAAAAGCACAGAAAATGTGTGACTCCCCTGTCCTGGGGATTGCAACTTTGACCCAGATATGCAGTTAAATACATATTTCCTGAACTATTGGGATGATTCTGGAGAGGATATTTGAATTGTATTTTCAAGGATATATGTCATTTAACAGGGAAGAATTTGTATCTTTCAGATAAAATGAACAGTACATGCAAAGTCAATTCCTGCTAGAAGTGCTCAGCATTGTGCAGAAGTGACAGAGATCAATGTGGTCAATCTCTACCTGATAGGAGAGTGGATAACAATGGCCTGGAGTGACTAAGTCATAGTGTGAAGAATCACGGGTGCTAAGTTATAGGCATCAGAGGATGTGAAAAGTATGATGTTTTCTTTAAATAAGGAGATTCTGTCAATAAATATATAGGAGGCACCTATTGTGGTGGCAATGCAAAGGAAAGAGTGCTCGGGTAAGAAGGACAGTGTGGGGATGATTTCAAACAAATGCAGAGGTTGTATAGACCAAGAACAATTACCTCACAAAGATAAAGGAACCAAGTGTTCATTAAGGCGATGAAAAAGAAAAATTCTAGGAATGTATTGGTAAGAGGGAAGGGAAAGAGTTGTAGTCCAAACAATAGATAGGAGTTGCCCTTGCCATTAACTGCTTGAGGACAATGTAGAAGAAAATCTACTTGGGGAATGGTAATGGGTTATGATCTTTCGTTGTGAGTTTGGATGACAGGAGAAATGACTGCATGAGCACGACCAGTTGGGAAGGTAGATCTGAAGGCCAAGCAGAGGTTCAGGACCAAGCAGCAATGTCATTCCAATGCTGTATGGAGATCATGAGTCTTGCTTGGGAGGAACATGGAAGCAGGGAACCAAGATTTCTAATATGCTTCTGAGCACAAGGGGAAAACCCAGCAAAAGATAAGGAAAAGGAGCTGACAGAAGTAGAATAAGTAAGTGTGGATGACAGAGGGAAATTCCTATAAACAGTATCTCAAGGGAACTCAGGCCTTCTCTAAAGGAATTACTCATAGAAGGAGATAAGAATAAGACAGCTTCTTTATTCTGTCCAGCTGCTATAGAATGAATGACATAAATGACAAAAATTTATCTCTTGAAATTCTCCATTCTAGAAAGTTTAAGACCAAGGTATTGATAAGAGCATGACCCACAAATGGCATTTCCTCACTTTGTGTTCACATGGTGGAAAGAGGATGAAGTGGTTATCTAGAATTACTAATAAAGGTACTGATCTCTGTCATGAGTGTCCTCCCCTTAGGACCTAATCACCTTCCCCAAGTCCTTCTGTCCAGAACTATCACACTGTTGATGAAGCTTCAAACATAAACAGTAGGGGAAGCACAAGTACCCAGACCATAGCATGCATCCGTGTTATGCCATCCAGGATGGGGTCACATTGTACATGCTTGTAGTTATTAAACACTTCAAAGATTTTGAAGAAACCATTTGGAGATGGTGTGTCTATTAGTGCCCAGGCCTTAAATATTCAAGAGGTCAGTTACCTAATCATATGTCCCTGTAGACAGGAATACGTGTATACAGATGCACAGCTTCAGGGCCCTTCTATGACCCCTGACTGATCCTTTCTGAGATGGATCAAGGAGGATCACACCAGCCAAGGTACTGACAAGTTTGCCTCTGCTCTGTTGGGTAACCCTTAGTACTTTGTACTCTTCTCTAGGCTGGTACTTGTTATCTCTGACTGGTGAAGAGAAGGTCTTCCTGCCCTCTGCAATAAGAGTGTGTAACTTTCAGATATTTGGTGGTCATGCCTGACCATAAAATACTGATACATTGGCAAACTACCTTGGGACTTCACGACAATGCTTTTGTGGTTAGATTTCTTCTTAAACTTGATTACAGCTTTTGCCTTTCATTCTGGCTCTTTTTCGTTTATAGCAACCCTGAGAGTTAGCTCCAATCATTAAGACTAGTTCTACATAGGAATCAGAGCTTAGCAAATAGGAAACAATCTACCCTTATGCCTCTATTCAATTCAGCAAGCATTCGTTGGTTCATTGAGTTTCTGCCATGCCAAGCAACTTTGGAATAGTGAAGTATCCTCAAAGATTTCCAGGAATGCCTGGGCAAGCAATCAGTCAGAACCTGTCAGGAAAAGACTGTAACTAAAATATTCAATTGTAGGCAACAGTGGACATGATCAGTGTCCCAAAAGTCTGGTGGCCATGGTGATTTGAATGACCTGGGGGAGATCGTTGCAGGCAGATGGCCACAGGAGAGTCCTTTGAGTGAGGTGGTATTTCAGCTGAAACACACACCCTCTGTTACATTTATATTGAGAGAACAGGCATTCTTCTGAATCAAAGACTATCAGTATACACAGGAAGGAATAATCTATAGGAAAATTCAGTTCACTCTAATTCATTTTTTTTCAAGCAAGTTTGCCTCTTTTAAATTTTTAATCACAGAATTCAATAAAATCACACACTCAAGAATAGAATAATTCACTCATAATCCCATCTTAACATTTAGCATTTTACTCTTACATACATTTACATTTTTATAAACCTGTAAGATGAGCATGCAACCATCTTAAGTATCCACATGACCTCATAGTGCTCAACATCATCTTCAACCTAGAATATTATTTTCCATATGATTATTCCAGTATTTTCTTAAGTTTTGGATGTTCAAGCTTTCCATTTATTCCTTATTCCAGATAATATTATGCTTCTCCCTATGAATTTTTTTTTCAGACACCCTGAATAATTTCTTCAGGACTGAACACCATGTTACAGTTGCATTCTGAAGACTATGAACATTATTATGCCCTGAAATAGATTCTTTGGGGAAGCAAATTGATGATGGGTATCAATTCCTTTCCATGTTGCAACCCCAGAGAACTGTTCTTCCACCGAAGCCACACCGATTAAACTGAAAACACTCTGACTTTAATGGAGAAAACAAGTGCTTTTCTGTTCTTATTTTCAATGTGAGCCCTCCACCCCAACCCCGTGTTTCTTTATAACTGCTTCCTCCTCATTTGGAGCCAGGCTATTCAGTTTTGAGCCACTTATCTAGTTCTCTTAATGAAAAGAAAAGTAGAAAATACAAGAAGAACTCTCATAAATGCTTCCCACAAATACCATTTCAGAAATCATTTGGCATACTCTCTGAGTTCCAGTGGAAATGGACATGAGAGTAGAGAAGGTAGTGGTGTGTTACCTAGCAGCTTGCAGGGGAAACGGACGAGCAGCCCGGGTGTATACTGCAGCCTGGCTCTGAAAGAGTATGTTTTTAAAACCTCTCTCAGGCCTTATGGCTGTGAAGACTCTGCTCCTGGCTGTTGATCTATGGAAGACTGGCACTTGAGGCCTAACTCTTTGCTCTAAATATTTTGCAGGTGACCAGTGTCCCAGAAGATCAGATCCTCGTGGCTGTGTTCCCGGGTCTCCCCACTTCAGCAGAGCTTTTCATCCTCCCGCCCAAGAACTTGACGGAGAGGAGGAAAGGCCACGAAGGGGATCTAGAACAGGTAAATGAAACTCTCACCTGGGACACCTGCCAACACACCAGACCCTGAGTTTATATAAAGTTGTTTCTCGTAGAAGAGCAAGAGTAGTCTACACGCAGTCTGCCAGTGGCTCCTGACCCAACATCCGGGATCTTGACCAATTGTCAGCCCTATGCAGAATAAGCAAGGACCTTGCTCATGCCCCACACCCCCATTGGCTTCTTCTTGTAGGAGAGAGGGAGGGTGAAAGAGACTGATATCAATACTGAGGCAGAGGCATGCAGGCGTGTGCACACTGGTGTTTGCCTATCTGTTTATGGGAATGAGGTCTTTAAACTGCATGGACCCTAGAGATGCTGGTCAGTTAATGTTTCTGGAGAGGAAACAAATTGCTTTTAGATACTTTTCCTTGGAGAGAGATGGATCATCTCCTTTTGCATTGATGAAAGGAGCAGTATTTTCAAAGTGGAATGTGACTGGCTGTCATTGTTGGACACATGGATCATGTGATCATCACACAGTTCCAGAAGCACATTGGCACCAGTCTGCTGTTTCTCCCAATCACTTCCACTGGGGTGTTGCTGACTGAATGCTGTGTCACCATCTCCCATCTTCTCACGATGCTAAGTCGGGAGAAGTGGGAATATAAAGGGACAAAGCTGTGGAAAGGCTATGTGATTGGAACACATTTGCCCTCCTATGTGGAGTAACCATTCCACAGACTCCTGCATCCTTCTGTTCTCACCTGACCTGGATGACACCCATCCACAGTGCTCAGACAGAACCACTGGTGTCCTTTTCTCTAGACGGGAGGAATTCTTCTCATCACAGGGGTGCATGTTGAAGTCATTCAAAAATAAATTCATCTTCCCGGTGCACACATCACTTATCTAAGCCTTCATTATTCTGAAATAGCAAGTAGCAAGCATGAACTATATTTGGAAGCTAGACTATCCATCCATCTAGATAAACAGGTAATTACAGTGATGGATAGCAGCTGTGATACTGAGGTATGTACAGCCAGATAAGACTTGGGGACAACAGCCTAAGTGAGCCTTAGCTTTCATGTGGGAATCAGAGAATGATTAAATCAATGTTATGTGTTCTGAGGCTGGCTGTGGAAAAAGGAAAGAGGAAAAATTATCCCATAAAAGGAGTCAGCCTGTACTTTGATGTTTGCCTCCCATTGTCTGTGGAACAGAATATGCAGAGGTTTTGGAAGGGGATCGGCATGCGCTTTGATCTTTGCAGGGGCCTCTGTACACAGTGTGCTACCTGATCAGATTAAAAAACTGATGATGAGTTGACATTCTCTCATTGAACCCACAACAGGCCTCTGGTTATAAAGGCAGGGATGAAAGAGCTCTAAGCTAGAAGTTGAATGAAATGCTATGCTCTCATTCACTGGAAGCTTGGGAAAGCTGTGCTTTCTTTTTTTGACACACCTCTTTCCGTCTTCCACTTGTGGCTTTCACAAAGCCATGTAGGATGTGAGAATCAACTTGATAAAGATGTCTAAAGATGTCCATGTCCCTTGAATGACTTTGGGGTTTTTGTTGGTTTGTTTGTTTGTTGTTGTTTTGCCAGTTGACTTGTAAGGGAGCAAAATCACTTGCCATGTCTACCTATAAACCTTTTTGTTTTACAGATTGTAGAGACACTATTTAATGCACTCAACCAAAACTTGGTACAGTTTGAGCTGAAGCCAGGGGTCCAGGTCATTGTATATGTCACTCAGCTGACATTAGGTGAGTGCTTGCTGGGAATCAGCAGATGTGAGGATTATTTTGATCTGAAAATGGAAGGAATAATCTCTAAGACCTTTTCCGTAGATGATGCAATATCTAAGCTTATCTGTATCATAATGACTGGCAGTATCTTGGTAGGTACCACATGAAGACTTTCTTATAAGTGGCTTTATCATTGAATCCTGCATAATATTTGGAGATAATGCCCTGTTTCTTTTACATTTGAGGTGGTTGGGTTATAAGATTGGGCTCTTCAAAAGTCTTTGATTCTATGAGTCTTTGTTAGAGGTCATCTTGGGAAACTTTAAGATCCCATTCCATCTCCAGTATGTGAGTTCATATGGGAAGAGGGACCAGATAGCTGTCGCTGGGTGCCTTACAAAAGGAATAAAAATGGCATGTCCCATTGGCCATTGATGTGGAGATGCTGAGAGTCTGCTTGTTGGGTGGGTCTTTCTGAATCAGAATTTTCTTGTAATGAGTTCCTAAAGTTCAATGCCTAGAGGGCTTATACCAGCAGAGTGTAGTAGAGGGCAAGTAAAAGAGTTTAAAACTGTATTTGGGGATAACCCAAAGTCATTCCTGTGCTGCCACACTGAAGATTAAGGAGATCAAGACCTTAATCCCTCAGCTAGTCACATGTCCCTAATAAACCCTGCCAGCAAGTGTTCCAGATACAAAAGAAGAGCTTAGGTTTCCATGAAAGTTTAGAACAACTCTTCTCATTATCAAAGCAAAGCTTCTCATATTCTGGTAGCATACCGGCCTTTGGAGACTGGAAATCAGGGTGAATACTGTCAGCCTCCATTCTCCAACCTCTCCACCCTCAGCTCCAGCTTCATAGTGAGCATATCTCTTCTTCCCTCCTAGCTCCACTGGTGGACTCCAGCGCTGGGCATAGCAGCTCCGCCATGCTCATGCTCTTGTCAGTGGTTTTTGTTGGCTTGGCTGTGTTTTTGATCTACAAATTTAAAAGGTAAGTGGTATTGTCAATCAGATTGTATCTCCAGGCAAGGTTCATCGCAGGTGACTCTTCTTATGACCTGTGATTCTCAGCTCATCTACAATGTCATCTTCATTTGTCTTGGAACTCTCCTGGGAAGAATTTGAAGTAGGGACTCAACCCTCCCTCCTGCCTCTAGGTTAATGGAGTATCCCTCCATGGGAAATGTGCTCTCAGAGTCCTTTTGTGCACTAGGGATACATCCTGGTTGGGGTCAGTCTTGTAGGTCCCTGGACATTTCTCTAGAGTCAATTTTCTCTTCAAATCTATAATGGATCCCTCTTTCATGGTCTCTCTCTCTTTTTTTTCTCTCTCATCTATTCCTCCCCTGACTCAGTCTTCCTAGTCCCACGTGCTTTCCTCTCCTTCCCTTCTCTTTCTCCTAGCTCCCTCTCAACTCACTGCCCCCTCCATTCCTCCCAGTATGCTCAGGGGATCTTTTTCCTTTTCCCTTCTATGATGGACCTTGAATGAATCTCTTAGATTCCTCCTTGTATCCTAGTTTCTCTGGTGGTGTGAATTATAGGCTGGTGATCCTTTGCTCTATGTCGAAAATCTGGAAAGCATCACCCTCCCTATGGAGTCAAGGGAAAGATGGGATGGGGGGGTGGTTGGGGGGTAAGGGAGGATAGGAGAAAGGGAGGGAGGAAGAGGGAACTGGGATCGATATGTAAAATAAGAAACATAAATTAATTCTAAAGAAAAGAAAAGATAAAAGAAACTCTCCTTTGTGCTGGAGAAAATCAGGAGTGGCTGAAGTTCAGGGAATGAAGGTGAGAATATGACATATATTCATTTTCTAGGTTTAATAGATTAAGAATATAAGAATTAGTTTTGAAATCTATTTATTCTCCTTAATAGATGTATGAGAGAATTTCCAAGCACCTGTGTGAAGTAAATTGTCAGATATTCCTGAAGGGTTTTCAGCCAGGTGGTGGTGGTGCACGCATTTAATCCCAGCAGAGGCAGGCAGATCTCTGAGTTCGAGGTCAGCCTGGTCTACAAGAGCTAGTGTCAGGACAGGATCCAAAAGCCATAGAGAAACACTGTCTCCAAAACAAAACAAAACAAAACAAAACAAAAAAAAAAAAGGTTTTCATATTGACCAACATCCATGCAGGGTAGTTAAACAGAGAAAAGTCTTAATTTTCAACGAATACACACAAATACACTCAGGTGTATGTATACATATGTTTCTTTATCTCTTAGTGGTGCTATCTAGTATCTCTGTTTAAATGTGCATGCTAGGTAATGAACATACATCTCAATTTCTAAAATATTTATCTAGCTCAATGCCCTGGGTACGATCCGGACTGCCATAAAACCCATGATTTACATGGTGCATTATTAAAGTCCCAGCACTTGAAACTGGAGCCAGGAGGATCAGAAGTTTGAGATTAACTTCTACTACACAATAAATTTGAGGCCACCCTGGGCTATATGAGACTATAGTTCGCCTTTTTATAAAAGAAATAATGCAGTGTTACATTTTCTATATTGGTCCTGTTTCCTTCTTTTACTAGTTTGAAAAGAAACTCTTCAGGCAAAGAATACCCCACGTGTGTTCAGAAACTATTTTTGAAGGCCCCAGGGAGGGTGGTGTAATATTAATAAAAAGAATGAAGTAGAAATGAACAATTATGCACTAGTGTTCAAATTAGGAAACCTCCCAAGAGATTTTATGACTTGGAATATAAACTGTGAAATCACATGGACTCAGATTCACTTCTAGCATTTATACTCTTGGGCAACTGTATTTATGTCTATAAGCCTTCATTTCCTCATTTGTGAGTGGTGGGAAACAATAATATCTTATGGTTTTACTGTGGGAATTAAACATTTTAGCAGCTGTGGCTGCCATATACTGAGTAGTCAAGAAAACTTGGTAAGACTGAATATCAACAATAACAAAGAACCAGAGACTGTGTGTTCCAATGATGCAGTGGGCCATAAACTGACTCATACCATAATAGGCTCTCAAAAATTATAATACAGAGTCATACTTTTGGGGAAGCCTGAGTAAAATGAAAATAACATTATTATTTATGTGAGTTTTAAAGCATATTATCTTAGTCTAGGAGTGTTTCCAGGCCCTGGAGATAATCTTTATGGATTGTAGAGGAGGTGGGTGGTGGGTGGTTTTATTCTTCTCACCCCATTATTCTCTTTCCCAGTGAGCATTTCAATTGCTTAGAAATGTCCTTTTTTATTTAATATAAAATGCACTGTTAGTCACAAGGGCAAGAATCTCTCAACTTTTCCCCACGTTCACTGGAAAGGACAGGCTAGTTTTACTTCCTGGTGGACTTATAAATCTGAATAGGAATTCACGTGCTTTGGGATCAAGATGGGCTAATCCATCTTGTTTGCTTTGAATAGGGAAAAACCCTTCAGGTATAATCAAGGGGGAAAAATTAATAAGAAAATAAAATACCATTTTATGAGTGTACTTCAATTATATACAAAATAGAATGTCAGTCATCCAAGTATTTGTTCATGAGAATTTCTGAGTTGTAAGGAATGTAAAGAATGGGGGGGGGGTGAATGTATACTACTGTTTCTAGCATTCTTTCTAGCATTCCATTTCATGGTGGATGAGGATGAAGGCCAATAGAAATCCTGCAAGAAGCAATTCTGTTTATCACACATCTTCAAATTAAAGCAGAATATCTTGTGACTTAGATCTTTCCTCTTGATGTATGAAGATGGATAAACTCCCTAGGCAGCCAACTTCTTTCTTTCTATAGACAACTCTAACTTTGTAGACTTTCATACATGAATCCCCTTAGATAATGACATCTCAGAATTATTCTACTCTGTAGTTCTCAATTATCAGCCAGAACTTTCTTTCCCTGACAGTGGGTAAGTGCCTATCAAACCAGATAAACAGCATTAAGCCAAAAGTTAACCTTTATTTTCCTAGCCCAAATTCCTGTTCCATGCTTTCCTCCCAATGCTCCAGGCCTTTGTTTGATACTCAGCTGAATTTTCTTATATTTATCTGGCCTTTTCTTTCCTTCTCATCTTGTAGAATCCCAGTGGTAGCTCTGCAGGTTATGCCAGCTAGCAAGCAAGCAAAGGTCAGACAGCATCCTGGATCGCTCAGTCTCCTGTCTTGTTCATTACCATCCAGTAGCATTTCTATAAGAGTGAGCATGCATCCTGATCTATAGTGATATGGTAGCAAAGTTTTCTTTTGATATGACTACCAGGACAAGCTAATTTAAATGTGCATTCATCTAACAAATACATAGTGAGTTCCTACTATGTTCTATGCCCTGAAAATTACCCAACATAGTTAATTAAGAAAAGGGAGTGAAGTAAGATTCCCAAACATCCTACAAGTAAATATCACCCTGTCTCTAACATCACATCTGCTTCATAGTGAATGTTGTTTCCAGATGCCTTAGCAATATAATTAAAAATCCTTGTGAAATGCTTTTACTTTCTAAAATATCCTCAACAAGACCTGCTCTCTGTCATTGTATATGTTTTTCTGGGTATTCAACAAAATGCTAGAGCCCTTATATTTCTTTCTCGTTTTTTAAAGTTGGGCTTTCATCATAGTTCAGAGTCTGCTTTTTTCATAGTTGGAGCAAATTAATATAAAATGCACCTGATTTTGTTGCTTGCCTGCTTTTTTCGGATGCTTGCACTCTCCCATCTTATTGCTCTTATTTAAACCTATATGGATATGTGGCCCAAGACATGTTCCCTCAGGCTCTTTATGAAATTACAGAGCTCAGGCTTGACTGACATCTTCCAAAGTTCCACAAGTGGATGTGCTAAGCAAGGGAAAGCAACTTGACAGCTTTTTATAATGTTACAGATTGTGATGTTAAAGTCAGTCTCTTCCAGTCATTTATTGAAGATGAAAACATGTTCGCTTTCAGGGCCTGAAATAAAGTGAGCAGTCATGGTAAGACTTAATAAGTACAAACAATCACAGGTGTCTTTATCCAAACAGGACAGATAGATAATAAATTGGATGACCAGGAATGGTTTGACTGCCCCCAGACCTAGTAGATATTAATATTACACTTGAACTTAGCGTTCATAAGCAATTGTAGTTTTGTAATTAGAAAAAAAATTTAATTTATTAAACTATATCTGTGTTTACCTAAAAATCAAAGTAAGGGCCAACTCAGTCTGTCATCTCATCTATCTATCTGTCTTCCCATCTATCCATCCATCTATCTATCTACCTATCATTTATACCACCTATTATTATCTGTCTGATTATTTATCTAATATATCTGGCTATTAGTCCCTTTTGTATCACCTATTATAATTATAATCTGTTTTTCTATTCTACCAGTCTATCATCATCATCTATCTAATTACCCTTTTCTTTATATTTTCTTTTTTTCCTTTATTTCAGTATTGTCTTAAACATGATATATATCTGAGAATGACCTGAACTGATCCTCCTGTATCTCTTAAGTGCTATAATTACTGGCATTCATGTGAGATGCTGGGGATTGAGCCCATAGCTCAGTGCATGCTATACAAGCCCTTTCTATCAACTGAGTTGATACTACAACCCCTGAATTTTCAATTCTGTACATTCATAGAGTGTGTAGGTTTTCCCCTCCCACATCATGCCCATTTAAGGTATCATAAATTGGGTCACGTTGGTGTAGACCAGTAGGAAACATGAGAACACAGTCTTTCATGTATGGAAAGAAACCAAGACATGAAAATTGAGCGTAGAGGAAAGGTAGAGACAAGCATGTGTTTAAAACCCATTTTCAGTGTTTTCTTTTAGAGTTATCCTGGAAAACTTCATTAAATATTTTACTTCATTTGGGGTTAGAATAGAATGAGGAAGATATAAGCATGGTGATCCTACTGATTTAAACTATGACAGGAGAGAAATGCACTTTTAAGAATACATGGAATACACTGGGTTGAAGTAGACATTATAAAACAATTACTGACTTTAAATCATTTTAGAATTTAGTTCTACATTCCCATCACTCAATGAGGTAAGAAAAATATCATCTGGATATGATATGTCAACATAAAAATATAGCCTTTATATTGAAAATCAGTCTAACAAATTCATAGAACACAGGCTTTGAATTTTTTTTTATCCATTCAACAAACACCTAATATATGCAACTATGGGCTATACAGCTGTGAACATAGAACACTTAGACCTTGCCCATATGGAGCTTTTAGTCTAGTGAGAATGACAGAAAAACAACTCAATGAACATCAGCTACCGTATTAACCTAAGCCTTTACCTTCTTAGTGTTTATAGACTTTGTCTTACAATTACACATTAAACTAGAAGAGATCAGGGATCAGAGGAACCTTCAGAAGTGATACATGAGTCAAATTCTGAAGGACAGGGATAAAACATCACCATGAGAACCATAGGCCTCTTACACAGATAGAGGGACTAGTGGATTCAATGTCAAGTCCCCAGGGGGAACAGTCTTGTGTGTAGATTCAATGTTCAGCTTGATAGGCACCCAGTGGCACTGCAATCAGACATTCCTGAGAATGTAGCAAAAGGTAGATCTCAAATCCAACCAGTTTGGATTCATGAGTCACAAGTCACATTGAACTACAGACCATGCTTGAAAGCTATCCACATAAGTGTATGGAGAGCACTAGATTTTAGGCCTGGGAAGGAGCCTGTTGAGACTTGAAAGTTGGGTAGGAGTCACGCTGGCAAGGGTCAGGGAAGAAGTAGGTCTTATTGAGATCTCAGTATGAACTTGCTTTCTTCCAACCCTTGTGTCTCCAAACCTGCACCTTTTGTCATTCGGGGAATTTATTTGTCCTTTCTTAATCCTTTCCTTAATATACTCTCACTCCTAAAACGGAGCTACCATTATTCCCATAAAGCAGAGAAGGACGCTATCAAAATACTTTATATTTTTGACCCAAGTTTGTTCCTCTAAGAAGTGTAACCATGGCTATGAGTCTGTTATTTCGGTTTGCTTATAAAACAAGGAATAACAATGGCATGCATACCAATTTAGTGAAAGATGCCATTTGAGTCTCATAAGACCCAAAGTCCAGCTCATTTCCAAGTGTAGTAACAGGTAATCATTTTCTGCCCTTACTGAGTAACTGGTCAACATCATTGCTCCCTTTAAAGGAAGTTCTGCAGGTTCAATCTCACCTGTGCATCTTGGTCTCCCATTAGCCTTGTGTCCTTGGCCTCAGTGTCTCTGGGTGGCTAGGTCTTTCCCCTGACACTGGCTGACCCTGTTCCGACGTTTCTTACTGTTTACAACAGGCATACCCTTTGCTCTCACTTTGATTTTGTTCCTACCTCGTGTAGAAAAATCCCCTGGATTAACATCTATGCCCAAGTCCAACATGACAAGGAACAGGAGATGATTGGGTCAGTGAGCCAAAGCGAAAACGCCCCCAAAATCACACTCAGTGATTTCACTGAACCAGAGGAGCTGCTGGACAAAGAGCTGGATACGCGGGTCATAGGTAGGTGTGCCTGTGCCCCATGCTCAGAGCCCTGTGTCCTCCAAATATCTGTCATTAGCTGGCACTGCATGTGCCACCAGACAGTCCTGGACTGCAAGGCTGGAGAAAGCACTGGTTACATTGATATAATCATGTTTTAAAATCCATTTCCCAGCTCTAGCCACATGAAATTGACACAGTATGCATTTTTTTTCCATTAGTATTTAACAAAGATTGGAAACAAGGGTGTCCCAGTGGAGGATGAAGTCCATTAGTATTGGGATATTTTTTTTCCTTTTTAAACCTATAAACCCAAAGCTGACCTTAACAATATGTACATGAATGCATAATGAAATATGGACTGTTTCCCTTGGCCAATCCGCAAACGTTGTGTGTGCTCAGTATCATACATTCCTAAACTGTGAAATAGTACCAGGATTCTATCAGTCTCTCATATACTGTCTGGAAATCTGCTCTGAAATTGTCTCCCTCATTAAATGATGCTATGAGTTAGCTCAGTGTCTACTACGTGCTAGTTAGTGCTGTCATGAACAGCACAGTGTAAAATGACTATCAACCTGTTGCTCCTACCTATATTCTATTATGGGAGATAGATGAGAAGCTTGTGAACTGGGAGGAATATCCAGATGCTCTACTTAGTTAAAACATATTACAACCTGTTGCAGGCAATTTGGTATTTGGCAGTGAATAAAGCAAAGACTCGGTGGTCCTGTGGAACTCACCTCTGTTTCTCCTCTGCCTTTCCCCACTGCAGGAGGCATTGCCACCATTGCCAACAGCGAGAGCACAAAGGAGATCCCCAACTGTACTAGTGTGTAACCAAGAAGCCACATGGTCAACCACCCTCCTGACTTTTTATTTTTGATGACGATTATTACTGTGATTATGGAAAAATGAAAATGTCTTTTTTTACCTTTTGTTTACCAAGAGTCCCTTCATAAATAGAAGTTGGGTAATGAGCTTTGGTAGGAAACCAAGGCATCCTTAGTTGATCACAATGGGATGAAGAAATACATGGTTATGTCTGTGTTATGGATGCATCTTTCCACAGGCTCCTTGCTTTACTCTCCTGTTGGCAGAGCAAAGACCTTCTTGTGTCCTGTCCTTTTTTATTATTATTTTTTTTGAGTTGGGTTTTTGTTCATTTCTATTCCTTCTACCCCTGCCAACCCCACCACACACACACACACACATACACACACCATCCCCCAGTTCAGTTGCCGGAAGTAGGTTGAGGGGGGAGTGGGCGTAGCTGCCAAAGGCACGCACACCTTTCTGAAAGAGGCCCTGCCTCGTGCATGTCAATACTGAGGCTACAGATGGTGTATTGTATATAACTACAGTGTAAATAGCTTTTTATTTCCTAAGAAATAATTTAATGTTTAGTAAAAAAGAAAAGAGAAAAAAAGAAAGATGTGTGTGTTGGCTTATGCACTCACATTCAGAGCTGACCACGCCCCCCAGCCTGCTTGATGTGTTGGATTCTGGAAGCTCTCCAGCTGTCTGTCACACTCAACTCTTGCATCTCTGTCCACACCATAGCTGGTTTCTGCTTATGTAAATAAAGGGGGAGGGGGAGAGCTTCTTTGGGGCAATTGACAAAGGATAGACTCTAGTGATATCTGAGAACATGGGGATTGTTTTTCTTCCTAAGATAACATGGAAGATGTCACAAGGCCTAGTAGAGACTTCAAACTGAAACCCAGTTGGGGAGATAAGACTTTTTCTCAAAAAATAAAACAAGGATGCTATTCATCAGCCCTATAGAGCCGTACTCTCGAAAGAAGTGATTCTGAGGATCCTGGCGTCTCTGTCCTCTAATTGGATTCCAGGAATATGCGTGTTGCTCATGGTGAGTTTAAAGCTGTTCAGATCTCAGAACAGTCCCTGGGCACTGTATTAGTTCCAGAGAGCATCTACTGGAATGAAAAGAGTCAGAGAGGCTAGACTGGAGGTGCCGCTTGTGGAATCCCGAGTCTGTGCAAAGCCTGTAGGCCAAATAGAGGCCTAGCCTTTAATGATATTAGTCAGAAATATTAGCAAAGCTATGCTGTTTGCTTCTCAGATGTACACAGCAACTTCCTTAAAGTCAGACGTCTGCCTCCAGTTCCCTTAAGGTAGTTCTCGCCTCTGGGGTGAATGGCTTTCTAAGCCTGTATTCGCTTTCCCAGCCCCTCAGCCCCTCCACATGTGTAACATGCCAATTCTTTTCAGTAGGATCACTTTACACCATGCTGTAAGTGCTGTTTTTGTTTCCAGGCTCTGCCTGAGCACACTTGTTTCAAAGAATGATATACTGTATATATATATATATGGGAGGAAAGGCCACATTTTGTACCGATTAACCTTCACAGGATGCTGTTCATGTTCTTCTTTGTGAGACACAGGGAGAATGTGATATAGAAATCTAGCTGGCTACAGCATAGGTCAGTGTCAGCCATGTTTCTAAATATCTTTTCATTCCAAGGGTTAAACGGGGCATACAATTGCAATATGTGTACTAAACACTGGAATACAGTGCATGAGTCAAATCTATATATATATACAGTATATGTACATATACTGTTCTTGGTTTATTGTTCCATTTGAATATTTCTACTGTAAAAAAAAGACAGTGGTTTTGAAATTGTTGAAAATAAATGTATTTTTGTACATCAAAGCTACATACTTGGCTGAGAATTCTCTTTTTTAGTGAGTTTCTTTTTTGCCATCAGACAGTGCTGCAGTACTGTTATGTGGCCCCCTCCCCTGCAGATAAGGAAAGGCTCATTGGAACACATATGAATCGTTTGTTTGTGAGTCTTTGGGTAGACTGTGGTTTGGTGATCTCACAGGGCCCACTGGCTCTGTTGTACTTCTCTGGATATGGGCTTCAGGTGCTTTGAGTCTGCTTTGTAAGACAACTGCAAAATTCCCCACAAGACACACTGAAATGGTAAGCCCATTTACCCTTTTTATTAACCTGTTTACCTTTGCTCACATCACCAGGTTCAACATGAAGGCCTAAGGAAATGGACTCTTCCTCTTATGTCTGTAGTCACTACTAGATTATGTAGAGTGAGGTGTGGGCAAATATTGCCAGTACAGGGAGAGAATGCCCAACTTAGGATAATAGTAATTTGCCAGACATGTTTACTTTTCTATAGTCCTAGTGGAGCTTCTGTTAAATGGTCTATTTAAATCAGTATCCATGTTTGGTGTTCAAATGTGAATTCTCAAATCTTTGAGCAAAGAACTTGGTAACTGCAAGGACTTTGAATCTCAACTTTATTTCCAGTGAATAATTTATCTGGATCTGCTACTTGTCTTGTAGATATTATTCATATATTTTCCTGTTGCTGTGAAGAGACATCATGACCAACGCAAATTATAATAAAAAATTTAATTTGAACGTTCGTTCACAGCTTCTGAAGGTTAGAAACTATGACCCTCATGGCAAGGCAGTATGCCAGCAGGCAGGCAGGCAGGCAGGCAGGCAGGCAGACATGGTATTGTAGCAGAAACTAAGAGCTGACCTCCTACCTACAAGCATGAGACAGAAAGAGAGGATTTATATTCTGGCCCACAGCCATGGGGGAGAAAGAGCTAACTGGGAATAGAATTGGCTTATGAAACCCCAAAGCTCACCCTAGTGACACACCTCCTCCAACCAAACCCCACCTCCTAATCCTTCCCAAATAGATCCAGCAACTAAGCCCAAGCATTCAAATATATTAGCCTATGGAGGGCATTATCAATTGAACCACTGTATTTACAATCTCTTCAATCCACTCATTCCTCCTGCTATCAGTTTGGTGTGTAGCACTGATTTCACTCTGTCTTCTTTTGTCCTTGGATGGGTAGGTGACTCTCTTCTCCGCACTGGGTTATTAAGGGAATGTGAACTGTGATCTACATTATAGGATGTAAGTGGGATGTTTACAACTCTTTATTGAGTAAAGTATCTGATATATTTCCAAGGATCTCAGAAATCTAAGAAACCAGAAAGATCTGGCCTATAATTCATGTTTTGGAAAGTAATCAACTATTCTGGAATTGTGTGTGAAGATAAGGGATTAGGCAAATTGGTTTTCTTTTATTTGAATTTGTTTAGAAAGTATGTATAATTCTTGATATCATTAGTCATGAGTCATACTCATCTTTGCATTTGTTTGGTGCAGTCAGGGGAATTAAACCTAGAGCCTGACACTCCTATGCCAAATTGCATGTATGGCCCCATCAATTGTGAGTTTATATAGTTAGTTTCCTTCCTCAAATATCAAGAGTGTTCCTTAGGAATCTCCACAAGAAACAGTGGCCTTTTCAGTCTATCAGTTTATGACTCAAAGTGGTTATACTTGTTAAATGAATTTTGAATTCAGAACCTCTCCAATGGTATAAAGTATCTAAAATCCCCATTATTGAAAAAGTGCTGCTTCCCAATGGGCTGAATTCTCCTGTTTATTTTGTATCTGAGTTAATGAAGTTACCCCATTGACAATGAACCAAGGTGAAATAAAGACAGTGGAACACTTTGAGGCAGTCCAGCCATTGGGTTCAAGCCCTGACTAAAAACAGACTCTGTAATCACCATGAGCATGAGTCTATCAGATTTCCCAGTGGTAGACTGGGGGAAAGGGAGGAAGGCAGATTGCATGGTTGGCTTTATCTGTTTCTGTGCCCGGCTCTCAATGGGGAAGAATCTCTTTGTATTAAAGTGGAATTAGTCCACGCTGTTCTAGACTGAGTACTGAGCCCACCAAAGTGCTGAGGTGCTGGAGCTCTCAACTCCATCAGCAGACTCTCTCAAGGTTCTTGTATACATTGAAATGTTTGACTCACAGCTTTGTCTACTACTGAAATAGCTCAGAGATGGTATGGGTACGAGTCATGCCTCTTGGCTCACTTTAATCTACAGATGTGAAAACAGTTTCCAGATGTGCCCCTTTTCTGTCAGGAAAAAATAGAAATATTAAGAGTCATAAACTGGGTTATTTTCGGCAGTACCATTGCAAGTTAGTGTATCAGCAGATTATTCCTTACAAAGAACTTTGAACTACAGGTTAGAAGATCACCAATCCCCATCAGTTTATTCTAAACTATAAATCACACACACACACACACACACACACACACACACACACACACACACACCACTACATTCATTCCCTGGAACTGATGTGTTGATTCCCAGGAATGCAGAAAGCACATTTCCGATTTCTAAAGTGTTGCAATCTTGTAGGTGTGGGCATGCAAGAAGAACTCCTAGGACTCAAAGAGGATTATGACTCTCCTATTATTACACATAAAATCACAGCAGACTTAAATCCATGTCTCTTATGACAATGCGAAGTTAGATCGACCCCATAGGTCCTTGAATGCAAAACTGTATTTTCACTACTACAGCCTACCGATATTGCCTTACAGCCTGGTTATATAACACTGTGGCTTCCATGTTTACAATGTCCAGAGGGATTAGAATATAACTTCCTGGGTGTGTTCATTATTTAATAGCTTCAAGCATCCCTCATTCTGTTGCTTTGCTAACCCAGTTGTTTTGCAGCCTTTGGCCAGATGCCCTTGACCCCACCCCCACCCCCTCACTAAACTGAAATAAGGCTGTCCAACACACAGCCTGGTCCAAGCCTCATATGCTTGCTACATGCCTACATGACCCTGTTCATAGTGAAGCAGGCCAGAGAAACAACACATGCAATAGAAATGTCACATTCTGACACACACCAGATGCTGCCAAGTGCTCTTGTCTGTTTTTACAACATTGCCAAAGGGGACCAGAGGATGACTGCCCAAGGACCTATTCTATCTTTATGTCTCTTAAGTTCCCTCACCTAACTTTATTCTTGGAGAAGCAGAGTATTCTTGAAAACTCC